CCTTGATCCAGTGATGTGCTGCTTTTTCATAAGGGAGAATTGATGATCCAGCATTTTCCCTACTCAGGAGAATTGAATGTAGCTGTACACTAATTCCTTTTCATTCCCTGTCAGCTAAGAAGACAACCAGAAAAAAAAAAAAATAGTCCAGCTCAAAAGTACAATTTAATGGGAATCCAAGACATTTGGTATGGGGTTTTCTTGTCTAATGTGGAAGCATTTGGAGGAAGTTGTGCATTCTAAATTTGGACTGTTTAGAGGTGAATTATTTTTCATGGCTCTAGGTCAAGTTATAAAACATTCTCCATGAAGTAGTTGATCTGACTGCAGGAGCAAGTCGAATGGAAAAGCCCATGTCCCAGTAAGCTTAAAGTCCTCCTTTCACCTATTCACATAGCTGGAGATATTATCCAAAAAGAAAAACCCTTCTGCAGGCTGGTACATCTTCCCACAGAATATATTTTTAGTAGCTGAATTTTTTGTACCAGAGCCTTTTCTGACTACAAGWTGCTTTACCATTGTACCTGGCAAAAAGCAAGTGAGGACAATCCAACAACAGAGCTCCAAGTGAAAAGGCTCTGTACGAAGTCCCAAAGCCAGCATGCTATTAGGAGAGACAGGTCAGCATTTTCAGTCAGTCCAAGAAGTCAWATGCAAAGTTGGTGAGATTAGCCCATGACTTTGACCTCCAACATAAAATAATTTTCTTTTTGATATAGTGGCTATGTAGTGGAAATTTTCCGCTATCTTGTGTAAGGGGTTGTGAGGAACGCCCGAATTGGAAATTTGTGTTGCTCTAAAAAATTATGATGTCTGTGCAGCCTTGCTGAGGAGCAGAGCTGTGAGCAAAGGGACCTTCTAGGATGGGCTGGGGCATCTGGCTACATTCCTGCTTTGCCCTCTGTCCCCTTGAGRGAGCTTTCCCAGCTGTTTGCTCTCTGAAACCTAAGTAGAAGAGATGAAAAAGGTGAAGGATRTGATGCTCTTCTTTTGGTCGAATGGTGTGATGTGGATTTACCGCAGTGAAAGGGAAAAGCACTTGGAGAAATATCCATGTTGTGAGACAAATTGCTGCAAAGCTTAAAGGAAAATGTCAGTAGAACAAGAAAAATGCACCAGGACACCTGGAATGACTGCCAGAGGAGATGCACCAGTGGGACAATTAAGGGGGCAGATAATCTTCTACAACAGTGACAGTGCAAGTTTGTCCTGGGGAAACTGATCTGTCAGGGTTATGAAGGTCTGTCACTGCTTATAAGGTCAGCAGTGTGACCAGAGAGGCAAGACATTTGCTCTCTCCAGAATAAATGTTCATTTGTTCTGATCGACCTCATGGTCGGAAGTTGCTGGTGTTTGCATGCAGAGYGGTGCCTGAGGCTGTGGGCACACRTGGGACCATTGGCACAACATCCTCRAATGAATGTGTGGGTGTGAATGTGTCCCCTGCTCAGCTATGATTCCAGTGAGGCACCTGTGGGCTGCTGCCAGGGCACAGGAAGGGATGCAGGACCACTCACCACTGTGGGGTTTAATACTGCACCACACAGAACATCCAGTGAATGGCTGCAAAGGGCAAATGACCTGTTGGATACAATTGGATGGAATTAATACAGTTCCCTGCATGAAATGTTTGATTGCATGGCAMCAAGGACTGAAGGGGAGGAGACTCAGTGTAGGAGAGGGGCAGATTTCCTTTCCGATCTTTTCCCCATGAACTGGTCCAGCCTTGAGCTTCTCTATTCATGGAGTTCTTTTTTTTCCTCTTGTTTTTCCTGTGTTTTGTGTTCCTCACCATCACCTTTTAGAGGCTCAGATCTTCCCAGTACCTTTTGACATGCAGGTTTCAAAGAAAGCTGAGACAGAGGAAGCAAGCTGTGGCTGTGGTTTCACCTTGGGGCCCCATCAGAAGGGTAGGATAAACTGGCTTTTAAGTTACACCCATTTCTGAATTTCAGTCTTAATTGTCACTGCAAGAGCTCGAAGAGGGTATGTACAGCAACATGTGCTTTCAATAGAGCTGCTATTATTGTTTTCATAGTGCTTTCATGGTTATCCCAGGGTCTTGTACAAAGCCACCGGGCATACAGCAACAAAAAAAATCCCCTCCTATCCTCCAGTATAAAAGCTGTTTTGAGAAGCAGTGCCAGCACCAGGCAGCTTTGTGGCTGCATTCTCACACATCTCGAATGTCCCATTAACAGTGTTTTCCCTCCAGCAAGGAGCAGCTCTCAAGTTGCATAGAAAAAATATTCTTGTGAATCCTCTAAGCCCCATTGACAAATGCAATGGTGGCTGTTCTTCTACCCTCATGGGAGCTACAAATTTTGTSTGTGAGATAAAGGCTGTCCTTGTCAAATGCATCATGCACTTACCTGTGCACCCTGCAGCACCCASGGCGGGTTTGTATTGCCAGGTCTGATTCTCTTGCTGCGATGTTTGGAAGTAGCCCAGCTGGGAGCTGGCGTTAAGGGAAGTTGAAGTGCTTGAAAAAATAGTCACACTCTTTGAGGAGAAAATAGGGAGCTTCCAAGGATGAGAGAGAAAAGTGATGGCTGTGTCCGACTGAAGGCCATGCATGCAGAGCAAAGCCCACTGCATGCATGGTAGTCTGTCCCTTGATGACACTGCCACCTTCTTAATAGCTCTTCTCATCCTCTGCTGAGGTGGAACCACASTGGCTTCACTGTCCCTCTGCTGTCCTCGGGGTCTGATCTGTTGCAGGGAAGTGAGGTGCCTGCTGTCTCATCTTGCACTTAGAGAATCACAGAATCATGGAATGGTTTGGATGGAAAGGGGCCTTAAAGGCCATCCCATTCCACCCCTTGCCATGGGCAGGGACACCTTCCCCAACCCCAGGTTGTTCCAAGCCCTATCCAACCTGGCCTTGGACACTTCCAGGGATCCAGGGGCAGCCACAGCTTCTCTGGACAACTTGTGCCAGCAGAAGTCAATGAAAGCTTAATAGTTTCTGAAATGGGAGGAACGTATTGCTGAGCCAGGAGTGCAGCTCTCCTCCAATTACAGTTTTATCCAGTTTGGGTCTCTGAGTTAGTGGTAGACTRTGGCTAATTGCCATGTTGCACAACATAGAACTTTACAGGGGGTGAATTCTGCCCAGGTGAACTCTCTTTATTGCACTATAACCAGAATACCTAAACTTGAGCTATAATCCTTGCAGGGCAATTTGCAAAGCCTTTGTTTTTGCAAAGGTTATTTTGCTGGCCCATGCAAAACTTTATTCCAGTTCTTTTCTGTGTATATACTGCTTTGATTTGATTTTTAGTTTGACCTTTGACTACAACCTCAAGAATATGGAGCTGAATTCCTTATGCTATAAAAAAAAAAAAAAAGCACAGCAGCAAGTATCTCAGAAGGTTTTCTTTTGGCAGTGAGGTGTGCAGCATTACTCCATATAGCTTCTGTTCCCTGATGGCAGGTCACAGGGGTGCTCAGTGCTCAGTTGGTGCCCAAAAAATGGTATTTGAGGTCTTGTTGAGGCCCCAAGATTAAAAGACATAATTAAAACATTACAGGTCAATACAACATGGGTGAAGCTATCATGCTGGTATTTTGAAGAGTTTATTGTCCGAATTACAGGTGGGTAAATTCTGCTCATCTGTGCACCTCCTTCATGAGTATGTTCCGACTGTGCTGATACAGTGTCCTCTCACATTCAGTGCCATGGTGTTTTAAGATGCCTTTACACTGTCTGACTGTAGCTCATGTCCCCACTAGTTTTGTAATGCAGTTTTCCAGTGAAAAGCAAGATTTATTCTACTTTGCAGGAAAGATGCATTCTGTACCAGGAGAACAAGACTTCTGTTATTTGGGTTTATTTTCTGTTACTCCCCTGCGGTTCCTCTGTGTGTGCATGCTTTGTGTATGAGCATTTCTGCTGGCTTCTGCAGCTGAAAATTGCAGAACACAGCTTGTGTTTCCTGGCCAGCTTTTCAGGTGTGAAAGAGTAAGACCTTGCTGTCCTGGATGGGAAGGTGCAGGCTGCTGCCTTCAGAGGCCCACACAAGGTTCAGAGGAAGCTGGAAGAGCCACAGGAGCTGGCTCACCTTCAGTGGCTGTGGAGCAGGAGCCCTCAGCCTTCCTTCCCCTTSCCTGCACGAGCTGCTATGCAATAGCTGATGGTTTACAAAAGCCCCCATGGCCAGGCTGTACAAATTGGCATTTTCCCTGAAGGACTGTGATTTGTCTGGTCACAGACCATGTTCAGAAAGCCCCCTGCACCCATCGTGTCTTTTGCAGCAGAGTGCAGGAACAAGCTTCCCCCTGTGCTTGTGGGGTGYGTGAGCATCTTTTCAGAAATGCTGTCATCTCCATCTGCCACTGCTGCTATTCTGCCCATGCCATCCTGTGGCTGTGACTGTCTGGGGCAGTCAAAGTGCTGCATTCCCCCACAGCTGGACAAACCYTCCCTTCCTGATGGAGAAAGGTGGGCAGTGAGAGGGGTCAGAGACTGTCAGTGCTGCACATGGAGTCCCAGTCTGCGGTCCCTCYGGAGAGGGCCCAGCAGTCGCTAGGGCAGGCAGCCAAAGGCCAATGCGAGCGCTGGCAGCTCTGCAAATAACACATTTAACCCCACTGAGCAGCTGGCTCTTGTGCTCCCAGCAGTGCTCCATTAACCAAGCAAGCACGTTCCTTCTGCACCAGGCTCAGCACTCAAATGTTCCCAGTCCCATTCTCTGGACAGCATAGCACTACATTGAAGCTGGGGACTCATTGGATGGCAAGCAAACAAAAAAGCATCTGCCTCAACCCCAAATAAAACCAACCTCACAAGTCTTTTCAAAGTCTGCATCAGCTTTTACAGAGACACAGTTATTTGCCCCACTGCTACCAACTGATTTTGATGCTGGGAGAAGCAATTCCTTATGTTACAGCACAAGTCATTTGTGAAATGCCCGATATGCAAATAAAATGGATTAGAAAAACCTGGACCTTCACCGGAATTAATGAAACAGAAATAACTTTTTCCTTTGTGCTTACAGGTTCCAGGAAGAGTGGACTCCGAATGTCATAGCTCCTGGGTGTTGCAAAGACAACAATCACCCGCTGAAGGGAGCCAGGAGCAGTGGTGCACCTGGGACATACGCGGCGCCGAGACACAACACTGCAGTGCAGACAGTGGACTTGCTACACGCTGTTGRAGTCTACAGCCATAAGGATAGTTGCAACAAGCCAAGCTGCCAGATACCTGAATAGCTGTTGTCTGAAATGCAACAGCCTCTCTGGACCAAAATGAACTTTTGATAGAAATATGTGCCTTAAAGACAACATAAAAAGTTTATTGTTCATATGAATTGGATGTTTTCTATATTYCAAGATGGTTATTTAACAGAAATGCTTCAAGGTCTTATACAAATAAAAATATGAATGTTGGGGCCGTCAGTCCATAGCTGTTCTCTGCAGTTTGCTGTGCAGTGTGCCATGGCAAAAGCATAATGTCCTTCTGTAAGCTAGAGGGGTGGTACCCAGTTTGCATATTTTTCTCATACAAAGTTGTTAATTTTTATTAGCAATTGCAATAATTACAATTATAATAATTACACCCCCCTCACATTCAGATCTTCTCTGAACCAGTGGGTTTTGTAAGAATTTGAGAAAGAAAATTCCCATATTTTTACATCTACAATCCCCCATGTTTTTACATAGTGGCATGATAGAACTACAATTTTTTTTTTGTTTTAATTAAATGCCCCATTATTTTGTATCAGGAAGGTCTTAATGAATCTACTCTGTGTTTATAGACCATGTGAGAATCAGTGYAGCAAAGGCCCATCTCCAGGTCTGCCAGCCTGTGGGAGAGGAGATGGCACGTGGAGGGATGTTGTGTCATGCTGTGGCAGACTTTGGGGCCCACACCAGTGATCTCCCTTAGCTTCTGCAGGTGTCCCAGTGTGAGAGCAGCTGCTGGGGACAGCGCTGCAGCCTTCCTGGAGCAGCCAGCTTGGGATGCTGCAGCACGGTCCCTGTGAGAGCTCTCTAAATAAAGGGTTGGGTAGCTTTTGAAAGCCTGCCGTCTTCCTTCTTCTCCTATTGTTAATCTRTTCATCATGTGAGGAAACAAGGTGTTTTTTTCTTGGTTTGTCCTTTTTGAATAGTTAAGTAAACAATGCAGCGCTTTTTCTACTGTTTATATGCAAATAGAGGTATATCCTAGTTATAGTATAGTTATTTTTGTTCAAGTTGAMGCCTTACTTAGTTCTGTCATCAGCTGTCTAATGGGTATCATCACATCCTTTCCATGGGTAGAAACATGACCTTACTTCAAGCTCCAGTAATTGTTTTATGGCACATCCCCTTGGTATGAATCAGGTATCCTCTTATGACCTGCAGTTCTGAAGCTTCAGTACTGAAATTCAAATTACTGTAGCTTGTTGGCAAATCTTGAAATGCCATCTTCTATCCTGGCCATACTCTGCAGAGATAAAAACCACTTGCTTGAAATTGAGTAACATGGAAGTTGCAGGAAAATAACTCTTTTATTTTCTAATGAGCTCAGTTCTACTGTACATTACACCAAGGTTCACYCTCCAACACACTTCTTGGTATGTGCTGCAAAAAGGAGAATGGATATACTTTCCATCACTCTACCCAATTTTGTTCTCATTTCATCTAATCAATGCTAGGGAGTGTTTATCAGGACATAGTTGTGCTGTGAACTATTTTSCCTGCAGTTTTCAGTCCCGTGTCAGACCCAGACAGCTTCTGTACCCAGCAGTGTGGGCAGAAGGTSATGCGAGGTCCCTCTGCTCTGCTCTGGTGGGACTTCACCTGAAGCTCTGTGTCCTGCTCTCCAGTGCCAGCATAGGAAGGATGTTGGAGCTGCTGGAGCAAGTCCAGATGAGACCACAGAGGTGCTCTGYGCACTGGAGCCCCTCTGCTCTGGAGTCAGACTGGAAGAGCTGGGGATGCTCACCTGGAGAAGGGAAGGATCCAGAGAGATTTTAGAGCCCCTTCCAGTGCCTAAAGGGGCTCCAAGAGAGGTAGAGAGATCTTTTGGACAAGGGGGGATGGCTTCACCAGAAGGCATGGTAAGGTGAGATGCAGGAAAAAAAATTCTTGTCTATGAGGGTGGTGAGGCCCTGGCACAGGTTCCCAGAGAAGCTGTGCATTCCCCATCCCATRCAGTGTCCAAGGTCAGGTTGGACAGGGCTTGGAGCAACCTGGTCTAGTGGAAGGTTGTGTCCCTGCCCATGGCAGGGGCTGGAAYGAGATGGGCTTTGAGGTCCCTTCCAAGCCAAACCAGTCTGTGATTCTGTGGTTCTGTGAGCTCTTGCATTCCAGGTGTGGCATTTGCTTCTGGCTAGGCCTGGGGCTGGCACCATCTCTGTTGCCTGTCCCATCAGCTGCAGCTGTGCCAGGTGGCTGGTGAGATTTGGGTGGATGCAAGGGGCCATAAAGCACTGCTGGGTCCTGTTTGGGAGCAATTGCTTGAATAGCATGCATGGTGGAAGTCCCCAAGTGGATGAAAATAAAAACCAGAAAGTGTGAAAAGAGTCTAGAGAGAAACAAAGGCTGGGAAAATCAGCCAAACATCTGAAATGCTCCTACACATATGGCTGGTACATTAGAGTCAAATGCATAGACATTACAGAATTTCCCAATAATGAAAAGTACAACATRGTAAGAATGACTTGTGCTTGTGGGACAAATTATAGGACTGGGATCCTGGCATAGTAAACTAGGATTTGTTCCRGGTAGGACACATGAGAAGAAAGGCCTGTGCATTCTCGGAAGTTCAGCATGAGGTAAAACACTTGTTAATCAATGTCTGTGGTTGGAGGACAAAGAGCAAAGGAGCATTGGCACATGGGCTGTGGGGTGTCCAGCACTGACTCTGCAGTTAGGAGGAGGAGCTGTGGAAATTTACCTGGGAAAATACCAGAAGCATCTCTAAGAATGTGTAACTTTTTCTGATCTTCTGCTGGAGAAGTTTACAACCATCAGGAAGCTGAACGTCTGTTTTGGCAACGACTTTATTTCTGAAGGYGATGGCTGGGGAGAGGGGCAGTTGCTTCTGCTTGTAGCAGGCATAAACTTGCTAAAACCAGAAGAGGCATTTGGGTCAATGTGAAAATATGTTTAAAAATCATGTTTTTAAGAAAAGGATGGAAAGYAACAGAAAAAGGAAAATAGACTACAAAAAGGCAAATTTTGACATTCCAAAATAAGTACAAATGCCATGTGCAGAAGCAGGTTAATAGATGTAGCATAGGAGGGCTGACTACCACTACCAAGGACTGGTAAAAAACATGTCAGACCAACGTGATGCAGGTGACAGCAAAAATCTTACACAACTGACTCAGAAATTCTGAGGGCATGAAAATTGGAGTGGAAATACTCAAAAAATGGGAATGTGACAGGCAACTGAGGTGCAGCACAACAAGATGTTCAGAAAGCTGTTCAGAAAGGCAAGAGGTAAATGTGAGTCATGACAAAAAGGGAAATGAAAGAAGAGAAAATACAGTGGAAAAAACAAAGATGTAAAATTCCAGGCAAAGTATTGCCTGGGACAAGCCAAAACAAGCCCAGAGATGACAACTTAATGTCTACTTTGTATCAGCCACCACTAAAAAGTTTACTGGTTATTGCAGTGAATTTTTATGTGGGACTAGGATTGCAGCCTCAAATAAAGCAAGAAGAAGATCACAAATACCAAGATAAATTTCTTTCCATTATGAAATACATCCTAAAGCACTAAGAATTAACTAAGCAATACTTGAACCATATTTATTACAGAATCAATTAGGTTGGAAAAGACCTCCRAGATGTTGGAGTCCAACCTATGACCAAACATCACCCTGYCAACCAGACCATGGCACTGAGAGCCATGTCACATTGTTCCTTAAACACCTCCAGTGATGAGGTCTCCACCACTGTCCTGGGCAGCCCTTTCCAATATCTAATCATTCGTTCCGTGGAGAATTTCTTCTGAATGTCTGATCAAAAYCTCTCCTGTTGCAGCTTAAGACAATGTCCTCTTGTCCTGTCACTAGTTGGAGCAGAGCCCAATGCCCCTTCCCCCCACCCCTGCCYGCACCCTCCTGTCAGGAGTTGTAGAGAGCAAGAAGATCCTTCCTGAGCTTCCCTTTCTCCAGGCTGAGCCCCGCCAGCCCCTTCAGCTGATCCACATCAGAGCATGTGTGCTTCATACCCTTCACCAGATTTGTTGCCCTTCTCTGGACCCCCTGCAGCACCTCACTGTCCTTCCTGAATTAAGAGGCACAGAAGTGAACACAGGACTTGAGATGCATGTACTGATACAGGAAACTTTGAAGGGACAAGGGAAGTATTAGAAAATGGGAAAAGGCAAATCTAACTTTGATTAGGGGAGAGAAGAGAACCTCCGAAGTATTAGAATGGAAGGGCTTCTCTGATCCCCGGAAGTGTAGAACAAATGGTTAAACAATTCCTTCACTAAGAAGATTCATCTCAACCTAGGATTAAGCAGGGTTGTAGGCATAGGAGGGATGTGTTCTGGCAAAATTATGCCTAAGGTACATGTGTGAAGGGTGGCCAAGATATCCTTGATCTTGCTTCTACAGCTCCTTTGAATTTCTTTCCTCTTCCCATCTCTATCTTCAYCAAATTTCATTATTTAGCTCAATAGTGTTTTAATTTTATAATGTGGCTTTAAAATGCAATAATATGAGTGCAAGTGAAATAAATTCCCTGTTGGGATGTTTGGGTCAGCACTTCATATGAGAGAGAACCTGTCTCCTCTTCTACATGAGGTGAAGCTGAGTAATGTCAGATGGGACAAAGWGCACCCTTGAAGCTGCCAGGCATGCTGACAGCCATGGAAATAACCACAGCAGGTAAACTCACTGTCCCCATGCCAGAGCACTGCATGATTGTCATTTATTTGGGCATCTAACGCAAGAGGCAGCAAAGTTACGCCACAATAAGGAAGCAACACCCAAACTGTTTGTGTGAGATTCGTGGCTCAGCTCCCTCTGGGACTGTGCTTAGTTCTGATGGCTGCATCCCCTGGAGTTAGCTTTATTGCTTATGCAAACATGATTTAYTGCCAAAGGGGAAATAAGTGCTGTGCAGGAAGGAGGTGAAAGCAGCTGAGACTCTAAAATAGACATTCAAAACTTTGTRACCCTTAAATATTTGCTGGCCAGTGGTTTCAGCTGGATTCAGCCTTCTATTTCTGCTACAGAACACTTGCATTTCYTTGTGTATTTTGTGGAAGTCATGGCTTGCACACGCTCACAGAAGTGTTTCCCAAAGCCTATACATTGTGTCTATGAGCTGGAGTCTGCAGKGGCTTCTAAGCCATGACCAGTGCTGGCTTTTACTTCACACAGACTGCGGGTTCCATGCTGGCTACACAGCATCCTCTCAAACATTGGGGGTCAGATGAGGCCCAAAGCAGGCACAGGRGTGACTTCCATGTGAGGACATGTACCCAAAGAGGCTTTGTTCCCTTCCCAGAGCTCTGCAGAATGTTAGTTTGCCAAATCTGTCAACTGTTTATTTACACRCCTATTTTAAGGGGAGGATGCTCTAACAGCTTTGTTTGCTTCCTGTCTTCAAAGAATTCAATTGTTTGGGATTTTTTAAAATAATTACTTGAGTATTTTTTCTCATGTGCAAAATCTGATTTGTGCTTTACCAAAGGATCAGATAAGAAGCCAAGTGCAGTATTGAACACATTCAATCTTCATTCTCCCGTGTACAACCTTACCGCCAATGCACAATCTGTGCCTGTTTATCAGGACTATTTGTGATCAGTATACACCGACCCATACTGCATGCTGATTTTTCCCTTGTGCCAGGGAAAAGAGATACACAATTTTTCTATCTGCATCATCTTCCTGTTTTACTAATGATGTTAAAATTTCCAAGGATGGGATGTCATAGAGCAGAATCAGGGGTGTGTAATTCACCAGGTAAATTCACAGGAAGTTAAAACTGACCAGAGATTTCCAGACGTATGGATGCTCCAGGCTATCATAGAATAGCGTGAGCTGGAATGGAC